GCTGGCCCTTGGCACTGTGCAGAGAGGAGGGGGCTGCACAGAGAGGGGAAGGCTGGTGAGAGTCGCTGAGGGGCCCAGTACCCATCCACACCCTGGTGTGGCAAGTTTCAAACTTCCCATCCCCAGAGTGCAGCCACTGAGTCCATCTGTGCCACCTTTATGTAAAAGAAGAGGTAGATGCGAAGCGTCCAATTTGCCTTGGGGATCCAGGCGATGGCCGCTGGGCAGCCTCAGGGCAGCTGAGCCTGCAGGGAGAAATGACCCTTTTCCTATGGAAACTCAGCCCGAAAAAAGTGAAAGAAAAAGAAACATTTTAGTCTGGGTGAAAATTTTTCAGGGAGTGAAAAGAGAAGCCTTCTGCTTCCCAGCCCAGCTCCAGCTCTACCCACACACCTCTGTCCCTCATGCCACAGGGCCTAGACTGCAGCACTATCTTCTTGCGGGGAGGGATAGCTTAGTGGTTTGAGCATTGGTCTGCTAAACCAAACCCACAGTCGTGAGGTCAATCTTTGCAGAGGCCATTTGGGACAAATATTTGTCAGGGATGGTACTACATCCTGCTGTGAAGGCAGGGGACTGGACATGATTCAATGACCTTTCAAAGTCCCTTCCAGTTCTAGGAGATAGGCAATCTCCATTCATATTTTTTATTTTTTATTTTTTTCCTCCCCCTCATGCAGCCTCCAATCCAAAATAACCCCCTCAGGTGAGCATATATATCAATAGCAGTGGAGACGTGTAGCTCCTCAAAAGAACATAAGAACAGCCACACCGGGTCAGACCAAAGGTCCATCTAGCCCAGTGTCCTGTCTGCCGACAGTAGCTAGCGTGGGGGCTTCCTTTTGCTTATTTTAAACCTGCTACCTATTAATTTCATTGGGTGACCCCTAGCTCTTATGTTATGGGAACCAGTAAATAACTTTTCCTTATTCACTTTTCCACTCCATTCATGATTTTATAGACCTCTATCATATCACCCCTTAGTCTCCTCTTTTCTAAGCTGAAAAGTCCAAGTCTTTCATCTCTCTTCGTATGGGTCCCATTCCAAACCTCTAATCATTTTTGTTGCCCTTTTCTGATCCTTTTCCAATGCCAATATATCTCTTTTAAGATGAGGTGACCACAGCTGTATGCAGAATTTAAGGTGTGGGCATTCCAAGGTTTTATACAGATACAATAAGATATTCTCTGTCCTATTGTCTATCCCTTTTTTTAATGCCTTCTAATATTCTGTTTGCTTTTTTGACTGCTCCTGCACACTGAGTGGAAGTTTTCAGAGAAACATCCACAATGACTCCAAGATCTCTCTCTTAAGTAGTTGTAGCTAAATTAGCCCCCATCATCGTGTATGTGTAGTTGGGGTTATTTTTTCCAATGTGCATTACTTTACATTTATCAATTAATTTTCAGGTTCCATTTTGTTGCCCAATCACTTAGTTTGGTGAGATCTTTTTGAAGCTCTTCACAGTCTACTTTGGTCTTCATTACCTCAAGCAGTTTAGTATCAACTGCACATTTTGACACTGTGACAGAGCGACATGATCCCACACTCACAGCCAGAGCAGCGCATCCATAAAGCCGGAACTTTACATTTATCAATTAATTTTCAGGTTCCATTTTGTTGCCCAATCACTTAGTTTGGTGAGATCTTTTTGAAGCTCTTCACAGTCTACTTTGGTCTTCATTACCTCAAGCAGTTTAGTATCAACTGCACATTTTGACACTGTGACAGAGCGACATGATCCCACACTCACAGCCAGAGCAGCGCATCCATAAAGCCGGAAACGCACCCCCGCCAGCCAGTGGAATGGGGGCGGGGGGAGGGTGGGTATGAAGGAACACCCGCACACCTCCGCAAGGGGTGGGCTGGGCAAGGAATGCCCTGACGTGGCCGGAAAAGGTGGGGTGAGCCAAGAACGGGCCCTTCAAGAGTGCACAGCAGAGTGCCAGGAGGGAGGCGGGAGGAAGGTGGACTGGTGAGGGGTGAGCCAGGAACCAGCTGTGCGGGAGGAGGCAGAGGCCAGGAGCCCACAGTGAGACTCCAGAAGGAGGGAATGGAGGAAAAGGAAGTAGCTCAGGATGGGGCCGGGAGCTATTGGCCGGGCTGGCGAGTTGAGGGCAGCAGCCCCGTCAGTCAGCATAGGGGTGAAGGGTCCCATCAGAAAGAGGGAGGGCCCAAGTCTCCCTTTCCCACCAAGAAAACCCCCAACTCCATTGAATTTGGACCCCCCTCCCCCAGTCATAGGCGACACAGGTGTCATTCAGCACCAAGGGCATCGCAAAGCTCACAAAAAGGGGTCCCTTCCTGGCTGGCCTGACCTGACTGGGGACCCCAGAGAGAGGGCAAGAATAAAGAGGTGGTCGGGAGCATCCGGAGAAAGGGCGTGGGCTACACAACCCCCTTACAGACACCTCACTGTTTACCCCTTTCTCCAGATCATTTATAAATAGGTTGAACAGGATTGGTCCCAATATGGACTCTTGGGGGACTAGTTACCACCCTCCATTCTGAAAACTTATCATTTATTCCTACCCTTTGTTTCCTGTCTTTTAACCAGTTATCAATCCACGAGAGGACTTTTCCTTTTATCCCATGACAGCTTCCTTTGAGCCAGTCTTTGGTGGAGGACCTTGTCAAAGGCCCTCTGGAAATCTAAGTACACTGTATTTACTGGATCCCCCTTATCCACATGTGTCTTGTCACCCTCAAAGAACTCGAGTACATTTGTAAGAGTGTCTCTCACCACCACCACCCTGTGTGAGTCTGTCCTCCCTCTCTGGCTCGCGTCTCCACTTATCTCCCCAGAACTTCCCTCCACTCCCCACTGCCCTGCTTTTTCCACAGAAGCAGGCTTTTGTTCTCTTTGCCCTTTCCACTGATCATACCAGCAAGAGGAACCGGGCCAAACAACTTCTTCTGAAAAGAAATACTTCTGGTGGCAGGGAAAGGGCTTAAAAAATTGACTGTCCATACCCAGAGAGGACCTGTGGTCACCCCACCACAGATGTCACCTGGTATGGCTACAACACCCCTATAACAGCGGGATCCCATGGAAAAGGCTTGTCTGCAACAACCCATCCATCAGAGGAACAATATGGCTGTGTCTACACTGGCAAATTATTCAGGAAAATCAGCCGCTTTTCCGGAAAAACTTGCCAGCTGTCTACACTGGCCGCTTGAATTTCCAGAAAAGCACTGACAATCTAATGTAAAATCATCAGTGCTTTTCAGGAAAAATTATGCTGCTCCCGTTCGGGCAAAAGTCTTTTTCCGGAAAACTGTTCCGGAAAAGGGCCAGTGTAGACAGCACAGTAGTGTTTTCCGCAGAAAAGTCCCGACCGCGAAAATGACGATCGGGGCTTTTTTGCAGAAAAGCGCATCTAGATTGGCCACGGATGCTTTTCTGCAAAAAGTGCTTTTCCAGAAAAGCGTCCTGCCAATCTAGACGTGCTTTTCCGGAAATACTTTTAACGGAAAATCTTTTCTGTTAAAAGCATTTCCGGAAAATCATGTCAGTGTAGACATAGCCTATAAGAATATAAGCTTGACCATTTTGAGTCAGACCAATGGTTCATCTATTCCAGTGTCCTCATCCAAGGTGCTTCAGAGAGAATAGACAGAAAAGGAGAATTATGTCGTTCCTGCTCTGTCATTGACTCCCATCTTCTGAAAGTCAGAGATTTTGAGACACCCAGCATATGGGGTTGTGTCTTTGACCATCCTGCCCAATAGCCACTGACGGACCTATCTTCCATGAACTTACCTAGATGGTTTTTTGGAACCAGTTATACTTTTTCCCTTCTTACCATTCCCTAGCAAGGAGCACCTCAGGCTGACTAGGTGTTGTGTGCAGAACTTCTTCTTTTTGTTTCTTTTAAACCTGCTGCCTATTAACTTAATGGGTGACCACTGGTTTTTGTGTTATGTGAAGGTGTGAATAAGTGTTTCTGACTCACTGCTGCACACCACTCAGGATTGTATAGACCTCTGTCTTATCCCCACTTAGGCATCTCTTTTTCAAGCTGAAAAGTCCTAGTCTCTTTAATCTCTCATGATGTGTTTGCTGTTCCATACCACTAAGCATTTTATTGCCCCTCTCTTTACCTTTTCCATTATTCATATATCTTTATTGAGATGAGGTAACCAGAACTGAACACAGTGATATTTTCTTACGTGATACCAATCCCTTCTCTAATTATTCCTCACATTCGCTCTTCTGGCTATGTCTACACTCATGGCTTCTTGCACAAGTATGGCCGTTTTTGCGCAAGAATCCTCAGAGCATCCACACTGCCTGCCTGCTCTTGCGCAAGGAAATTTACAGTATAGCGTGGTAAGAGAGGGCTTCTTGCACAAGAGCTGTGCTCTTTTTTAACAGGTGTACGCCCTCTTGTGCAGGAGCTCTTGCACATGAGGGCAGTGTGGACGCTCGGCAGGGATTGCTTGTGCAAGAAACCCCTATGGTTAAAATGTCCATCAGAGCTTTCTTGCACAAGAGAGTATCCACACTGCCATGGATGCTCTCGTGCAAAAGCACAGCGCGCACATGGCAGTGTGGACGTTTTCTTGCACAGGAAGCCTCCAGTGTAGATGTAGCCTTCGAGTTTTTCCCCCACTGCTGCTGCACCTTGGGTGGTTGTTTTAGAAAACTGTCCACGATGGCTCCCAAATCTCCTTCTTGAGTGCCCATGCTGCTTTGGGGAGTTATGGACTCACCATCCTCCCTGGGATGTACAATCTGGGGGCAACATGTGGAAAGTCTCGGGCTCCCTGGCTCTCTGGCCAGCTCTTACCATGGCCCAGCTCAGGATTCCACCCTGAACCGGGAGAAGAGTCACAGTTAAAGGGGAATAGTCGAGATGCAGCCTTGAGCAAAGAGATGAGGAAAGGGAGGCGCCTCAGGTGAAAAGGTTCCAGGATGGAATATGTGTCCGTGTCATCACAAGTGTTTTTTGTCTCCTGTGTCACCATCCCTGGAGGCAAGTGATGAACAGACCCTTCACTTGACAAACGCCCGGATGATCCTTGCACGAAGGTGTTTGCTTTTCACACTGTACACAATTGGGTTCATCAGAGGTGGGACCAGCAGGTAGACGTAGCCCAGGAGAATCTTAAGCAAGTGGAAAGAGCTGTCCCCAAATCTGTGTAGCACAGCCAGGCCAATGTCTGGCACATAGAAGAGCAGGACAGCGCAGAGGTGGGAGACGCAGGTGTTCAGGGCCCTGAGGCTCTCCGTGCGGGACGCAATGCTCAGCACAGTTTTGAGGATCATCACATACGAGAGGAAGATGAGCAGCGAGTCCAGCCCCAATGTGAAGACTGTAGTGAACATGCCATAGATGACATTGACAGTGATGTCCGCACAAGCCAATTTCATGACGTCCTGGTGCAGGCAGTAGGAATGGGAGAGGACATTGGCTTGGCAGTATGGGAATCGTTTCAGGAGGAAAGGGAATGGAAATGCTACGGCCACCCCTCTTACCACAAATACCAGTGCCAATTTGACTATTCTTGGCAGGGTTAAGATGGAAGCGTATCTCAGTGGATTACAAATTGCGATGAACCGATCAAAGGCCATCAGCAAGAGAATGGAGGATTCGATTTTTGCAAGAAAATGGATGAAAAACAGCTGGGCAAAACAGGCATTGAGGCTGATCTCCCTGGAGTTAAACAAGAATATACCCAGTATCGTTGGTACGGTGGCTATCGATAAGCCAAGGTCTGTGAGGGCCAATATGGAAAGGAAAATGTACATTGGCTCATGGAGGCTTGAGTCTGTTTTTATAAAGTACATAATGACTGCGTTTCCTACTATCGAAATAGCATACATGAAGCTGAAGGGGATGGAGATCCAGAGATGGATGTCTTCGTGACCAGGTATCCCAGTGAGAAGGAACACTGCAAATTGTGATTTGGTATCATTGACAGGTGTCATAATGCACTGGGCAGGTCTAAGCAGCCTTCTTTCCTAAAAGAAAAAGAACAGGAGACTAGATGATATTTAACACAACATCTGTCTGCCCTGAATGGAAGCTGAGAGACTCCCAGGTGTTTGTGGAAGATCCACAAATGTATAGTTTTGCATTTACACCACTGATTGGAAATCAGGCACTGCTGAACTGGATCAGAGCTATAACCTATGCATGTTAATTTTCAGAGGCCAGTCCAAGATGCTACTGAGGACAGCAAAGAAACCCTGCAATAGGCAGCTAAGAGATAATCTTCCCCAAGGAAACTTTTCCCGAACACCTGCTAGTGAGACATATTTTCTGATATAAATCGGGACTATTTAGATCCCTTCTAAGACATTTAAAAACAAATCTTCACTATTGCAAATGGATTTTCTGGTTAGCCATATAAACAACCTTTGAATCCTGCTAAGCTCTCTGCCCCATTGTTGTCTGAGTTCTGCAGCCTAGTGGAGAACCCTTTGAGTTTACAGATGTGACTTTCTCAAAGACACCCTTTTCAGGCCTCCACTTTTAAGCATGCCCCATCAGGTCCCGTGAAATATGTGCAATCACATGGCAAGGGAATGGTGAAAACAGGCATTGTATTTAGCTGTCCTCCATTGAAACTCTATATAAATGTGTTTCATTGCCTCATCAGATGCATTTTTTTTATTTTCTCCACTCCTGAGAGTTCAAATTAAGTTTCTTTGCAGAACAGGGGATATATTCTTAGGGCTGTGTTCTGAATTCAGCAACGTTGACTTCCACTGCGTCACTCCAGATACAGATGTGCAAACTAGATCAGAAGCAGGCGCTATTAACCTTCCCCTAACAAATTCTCATGGTGATGCACTTGGACTTCCAAGATTCACTGCAAGAGAAGCTGACTTTTTTCATGGCTAATGGTGACTGAATCCAGAGAATGTAATTGTCCTGTAGCCTTCTCCTCACAGGACCTGCATGCTCTCCCCATGCAAGGGTCTGTAGACTTTGTCAAGTTACAAGCTAACACAGACAGCGACTTCAGCAGGGCCGAGGAGGGGACAGCCTCACAAATGGGTAAATATTGCAAATGCTAGGTTTGTGCTAATATCAAGCTGCGTGTGCAAGTGACTTCAGCCATGCTCCTGTGACAGGTTATGTGTGCAAATTAGACACAACGGCTGTGTCTACATTGGCCCCTATTCCGTAATAGGGATGCAAATGTAGCACTTTGGAATAGGCAAATCCGCGGGGGATTTAAATATCCCCCGCGGCATTTGCATTAACATGGCTGCCGCTTTTTTCTGGCTTGTAGATAAGCCGGAGAAAAGCGCCAGTCTAGACGCGATCCTCCGGAAAATAAGCTCTTTTCCGGAGGATCTCTTATTCCTACTTTCAAGTATTCCAAAGTGCTACATTTGCATCCCTATTATGGAATAGGGGCCAATGTAGACACAGCCAACCACTTTACACTCTCCTTTTCTGCATGTGAGCGGTTGTCTTTGCTGAAAGAAAAACCAGCGGTTCTTATCTCTCAGGATTTTTGGGGACGTCTGGCCCAGGTAGTGCAGAAGGACAGTGTACATGGTCCTGATGCAAGTGTCACACTTCCAGTCACATATCAGAAGGGGAGCTGGGTTAGTCTGTATCTGCAAAAACAACGAGGAGTCCTGTGGCATATTAAAAACGAACGGATTTATTTGGGCACAAGCTTTTGTGGGCAAAACTCCAGTTTGTCAGATGCCTCTGATGAACTGGGTTTTTGCCTATGGCCATTTATACCTTTCAGTGAGTTACAAGGAGAGAGTATCAAACACCAATTCATGGAACAAAGGGTTAATAGCACAAAATCATTGCAAGCAATATTTCTGGAACTTCGCTGGACATTTTTTAGAAGCCAAATGCTTTGAAGCAGTAATGTTACCACTGCTCCTTGTTGTAGAGATTCCAATAACACTGTTGCTGGCCTTCCACATGCAGACATGTCCTGAAAGTTTGTTTTGTCGTATTTGTAACACAGTGAAAAGTTATGACATAATATTTACGCAGCTGTTTTTGAGTACGCACATGTCAACCCATTCCCGCCCTGGTGAAATTCCGGTGAAATTCGTTCAGAGATGATTTCTCGGGTGAGAGTGGGACCTATAATGGGTCATCTGTCCTCAGCTGCGTCTAGACCGGCATGATTTCGCGCAAATAATTTTAATGGAAAAGTTTTTCTGTTAAAAGTATTTGGGCAAGAGAGCATCTACATAGTATGGACGCTTTTGCATAAAATACATCTTTGGCGCAAAAGCATCTGTGCCAGTGTAGACGCTCTCTTGCACAAGAAAGCTCCGATGGCCATTTTAGCCATCAGGCTTTCTTGCGCAAGAAATTAACTTGCCTGTCTACACTGGCCCTCTTGCACAAGAATACTTGCACAAGAGGGCTATCCCTGAGCGGGAGCGTCAAAGTATTTGTGCAAGAACCACTGATTTTGTACAGTACAAAGTCAGTGTTCTTGTGCAAATACTCGTGGCCAGTGTAGACAGGTGGCAAGATTTTTGCGCAAAATCTTGCCAGTCTAGATGCCCCCTAATTGTGTTCAGAACCTGAAAAGATGGAAATATCTCTCAGCCTTCATTCAGCCACTTGTCAGCAAACATATCTAGTGTCTCCTCTGTCCCTGGGTGAACAGCTGATTGGCTTGAATAAGTATTTCTTATGTGCTCCTCATACTATTTGCAATGGATCTGTACTATGGACTCTTTGATCAATGATCAGTAGACTACTGCCATGTGGGAGATGAAGTGCCATTGCCAGGAATCCTCAGGCATTTGACTTTGAAACCCACTTTCTCCAAAACCTCATGTTGTCCGAAGAACAGGTGCTGGGGTGACTGTGTACTAGAGAGTGAGAGCTCAGGGAATAAATATTTCATACACTGACCCTAGGACCTGCTGTCCCTTTGGATAAAGGTGACAGGCTGACAGAACAGAACCTGAGGAGAACTAATCAGCTGTTCACCCAGGGACAGAGGATTCCAACAACTCTTCTGCTGGCTGTGGCTATACAGGGCGTCCCTGCTATAAATCTCCCCGGTATACATCCATTCTGCACTAAAGTCTTTGATGCTTGTAGGAACTGATGCACTCAAATCCTCCTATTTCCTGCTCTTACTTCACGCCACCTCCTCCCCCAGTTTGCGCAAATGGAAGTCAGCTGCAGGAGAAAAATTCCCCATGTTGAGTTGTTTCTCTATAAGTCCAAGTTTTCTGGAACGTATCTTGGACTTATAGTAAAGACGGCTGGCGCATGCCATGGATATATGATTGAATTGGGGTTAGTCCTGCTTTGGGTGGGGGGCTGGACCCAATGACGCCTGAGGTCTCTTCCAGTTCTAGGACTCTATGCCCAGAGCACAGGGCACCTCTAGAAACGGACCCCCCTGTGCAATCCATATTTGGAGTTCTGGGGGTTTAACACTCTGAGCTTGCTTTGAGGGTCAGATTTCTGTGTAGCTTTCACAGCCCAGTGTGGAGCATGGGCATATGAAGGGGGAGGGTTCCCAACTACCTAAAACCCTCTGGCCCTGTTACTGAGTCACCCCGACAGCCCCACTGAGTCCTCTGCCACTGCACAAAACAGCTGCCAATGCAAACAGGCTGCAGCCTTCGCCCTGCACTTGGCATGTTACAGACAGTGACACCTGCCAACGTACCCAGTTCCTGCTAGAACGGAGCCACTGGCACCAGAGGTCTTGACTTGAAAGCCGAAGGAGTCATCGGAGAGGTTGCACGGGCAGCAGGCAGTGTGTGTTCAGCTAGGGAGGCAACTGCCTTTATGCAGCATGTTTGTACCTTCCCTTGGGCCTCTTGGTCATCAGGGAACCTCAGCTGCTTGGCTTCCTGTGCACCATCTTTAACCCCGTCACGGCCAACGGCAAAGGGCAGGAGGTCAAGTCACAGGGAGATTCCACATGGCTCAAAACATGGAAAATTCCCTCAGATCATTCCAGTTGAGGGCTTTGATTTTTCAGTGGTCCCACTCAATGTTCGGCTGGATTCCTGCTTCTCACACACCTTTCAGAAATACTCTTCATTTTTGTGTGTTTTGCTACTTGCTCTTCAAATCCTTTCAGCCAGGGAGAATCAAAGAATCATAAAACCCTAAGGCTGGCAGAGGCCTCAGGAGTCATCGAGTCCAGCCCCCTGCCCAAAGCAGGACCAACCCCAACTAAACTATCCCAGCCAGGCCTTTGTCGAGACAGGACTTAAAACCCCGAAGGGATAGAGATTCCACCACCTGCCTAGGGAATCCATCCCAGTGTTTCCCCACCCTCCTAGGGACATAGTTTTCCCTAATAACCAACCTAGCCACCCCTTCCTCCACTGTAACTTGAGGCCATTGCTCCTCATTCCATCATCTGTAACCACTGAGAACATCCTCTTTGGAACCTCCCTTCAGGAAGTTGAATGCTGCTATAAAATTCCCCCCCCCCACTCTTCTCTTCTGCAGACTAAATAAGCCCAAATCCCTCAGCCTCATGTGCTCCAGCCCTCTCATCGTTTTGGTTGCCCTCCACTGGACCTTCTCCAATGCGTCCACATCCTTTCTGTAGCGGGGGGGGCACAGAACTGGATGCAATACTCCAGATGTGGCCTCACCAGAGCCAAACAAAGGGGAATATTCAGTTCTCTAGATCTGCTGGCAATGCTCCTCCCAATGCAGCCTAAAATGCCATTAGCTTCTTGGTTAGAAGGGCACACAGCTTTTCTTCAGAACTGCTACTTAGCCGGTCGGTCTCCAGACTGTAACAATGTTTGGGATTCTTCTGTCCCAAGTGCAGGACTCTGCAATTGTCCTTGTTGAACCTCATCAGATTTCTTTTGGCCCAATCCTCTAATCTGTCTAGGTCACTCTGGACCCGCTCCCTGCCCTCCAAAATAACTACCTCACCCCCTAGCTTTGTGTCATCTGCAGACTTGCTGAGGGTGCAATCCTTCCCCTCATCTAGGCC